ATCAACTTTGGTGATTACTTTTGAATAAAAGGACATTCATATTTTATACAATTGAATCTAATAAATAACATCTCACCTGCAAAGACAAATCGACATCGTCCCTAGCCAAGGCTTTCAGATACGTTTATCTCCTCAATAACTCGTGAGGAAACTAACGTATTCGAAAACCTTGGCTAGCGAAGATGGGGAAAACGGGGGACCACATTTTTTTTAATTGCTTGCTAAAATTTGAAATCAAATACTCAAAATGGTGATGTCACCTTCAGATAATATCACATATTCGATCAGCTTACTAATTTTTCAAATATTTCTCTTATCATGCTGAATTTTTCGTGATTTCTTAAAAGGTTTATTGCATTGTTTTGAATTTGTAGTTGTATACATTTTAATTATGTTTTAGGTAGTTGATCGAGGATCAATGGCGCAAGATCGATTGACAGAAGAAGAGGAGCCCATTGCTTAACAACGTCCAGCTGTCAATATTGGCATATGTTGCACTTGACGGTAAACTATGAATTACTGACATGTAACCGAGCGGATGTTACAACAACAATAAAAAAAACTTTGGGACGGGGTAATAATTAAAGTATCATTTTTTCCTTTTTCTTTCTCAATTATGTCTCACTGCTGGCTTACTTATTTATACCTAAGTTTTACCTTATTTATTTAAAGCTTAACTTAATGCAGGATAGGGAAGGAAAGACTTTTTCAGTCAAGTCTAATCCCTGTCTCAACTAATCTTAAGTCTACTTCAGCAGCTACTGACTCTCCTACTGACTAACTGCGAATGCGTCAGAGCACTGAGGAGACAGCGCTTTTATACTCTCCTAATTAGCATACATGTACTTGATTCTTATTGGTTGAGTCTAAAACTTATCTTCTATCTACTAGAGAGCTCATACTTCTGACAATAGTTATCTCTGATAATCACATTACTTCAATCGCCATGTATCCCACATGATAAGAATAAAATAATTTTTTTTTTACATTTTAAGTTATTTTTAACACAGGTTCTTTTAATGAAATATTTACAGGTTACAATCATATGGCTTAGAAAATTATTCTCTCAAGTTCTAGACAAAAATACTTCTATGTCTCACGAAAAATGTCTCATTTGAGCTCAATTACTGTCTCTTTCAGTAGAATTGTCTCTTGCTCATTCTTCAAATTCTTCCACCATCTCAACTCGTTCCATGTCCTTATCTTCCTCTTTACACCTAGCAGTGGTCCATACAACTTTTCTTTTGGAGAAGGGCGTCTGTACACCAACGTGTACCATTTAACGGACTTGTGGAGGTTCTCTCATCGGTACTACATGTATCTCTGTTGAAAACTTCCTCTACCATCTGGTATGGTTTTTGACCCTTTGGTTAAGGCACGAATTGCCGAACAAACTTCACGGTTTTTTTTAGAGTTGACTGGAATTTCTCATCTCCAGCCTTTCTTTTTAACGGGAGTGGGCTCCTTCGGTGTCCTCACTACTCTTCCAACTTCTAACTCTTCTTGGATCCCAGAATCATTAGAGCTTAAATCACTACTTCCCGACTCTTCTGACATGCTTCCAATGATCTGATGAACATCATTGGGATTCTTCCATCTTGTCATCGTCTGAGCAACTGTTCTAAAGCTCAATTTCTCCTGAATGTTCTCAACTGTTCGCCATAACATGTCTCTTTCTGTTCCTGATCAGGGTAGCATTCTTGCATAGTTGCTAAGATCAGAACGGAATTTCTTGTTTAACGTCTTAAACCACATTCCACAATGTGTCTCTTCAGCTGTTCTAAGTCCAGTGTCTTGTATGGGCACATTGGACACTTTTGCTTTGGAGGAAGAATTTTGCTTGATCTCTCAAATAGTGTCCACTTTAGGTTTGAACTTATTTACATTTTTGAAATTTTTATCATACGTACTTTCCATGACATTCTCAGCTTGGCTCAGATTGAGAACTTGTGTGTTCTTCTCTAGTAATTTTGCATCTGACATAAAATTCATGATTCTTTCTGGAATGCAATGTTCAACATTGCCGATTAGAGCTCTGTCTAATTTGATGAATGATCCATCTGGATAAATCAGTCTTATTTCTTAAGATGTTGCGTCCTTTTCTCTATGATAAATTTTGCCAAAAGTATTGATTTTACTTCTATATGAGTTCAGAGTATTAGCTTCTGCAATCTTGTAGCATCCAACAACTCCTGAAGTAATCAACGGAACGTCATTTCTTCCGACCCGTATTCTTCCGTTTTTCAGGTCTATGGTGCAGTTATTTTCTATCATGAAATCCAGTCCCATTTTACCATCTACGGACAGTTTTGCTACAGCTACAGTGTTCTTGTATGATCTATCTCCCATGTGAATATTCAAAGCTGTCTTCCCAAAATCTTCTACTGGTCCACCATTTGCAGAGAGAATATCTCTGCTGGAGTTTTATGAAGAGACTTACTTTTACATTCGACAGATGACTTTTACATTTTAGTAATTAGAGTTTGTCTCTGATTAAATTGTAGAAGTCAGTCGTCGATTGTAAAAGTAAGTCTCTTCATAAAACTCCAGTAAGCGGTATGAGCTTCTCTAGTCTTTCTGGAATTTGATTATACGATTCTTTAGAAATCAATGAAACAGTGGTACCTGTGTCTACCAACATCTTCAAACTTCAACATAGATACCTGGATCATTAATTCTGTTGTTAATTGCAACACGAGCATTTTCCTTCTGTTTCAACTTCTCGTATCGTTTCCGAGGAATTTTTAGAAACAAACTGTTTGGAAGATTGTTAGTAATCATTTAGCATGGGCTGAGATTTAGTCTTTTGAGCATACTCATCTTTGTTTCTTCTTGGAGCTTTGCACTCTCTTTGCAAGTGACCCTTCCGTGCACAAATATGACAGATTGCTCTTTCTTTCCAATTGTTTCGAAACGAAGCGTTTGGAACTTTTTGGCTCGAGTATCTTCTTTGTTGGGACTGTCTCTCTTTCATGAATTTTAATCCCCTGCTTGAAAAGTGGGGATATTAATTTTGGTCTGTCCGTCCATCCGTCATTCTGTCTCTTAATCCGAAAAATCTGACGTTTTCCTGACTTTTTTACCATTTTGATATTTTACATGCCAGGAAAACGTCAGAACCGGCGCCATTACGAAAACTGGGAAATCGCCGCCTCCAACCGGAGGCGGCATACTCTGGTAGATTTTAGATACTTGCGAACTGAATTAAATTACAAAGTCAAAAGTTTTCAATAATACAATACTTAAAGAACTTACCAACATAGTTTTGATGGTTCATTTATGAAATAAATAATCCGTTGAAAATGGTTTTTTCACACTGTCGAGATTTGTCTTCATTTCATGCATTTTAAAATCTTGCATGTCCTGTTACGAAATGTGGAGTGATATTTTCTTTTCATCGATATTGGTGAGTACTAGAGGCATTGTGCTTTTGATAAATTCTGATTTCGGCATTTAGGTCGGTTCACAAGTATCGAAAATCAACTCCAGTTGAAGACGGCGAAATTTCCAGTTTTCGTAATGGCGCCGGTTCTGACGTTTTCCTGGCATGTAAAATATCAAAATCGTAAAAAAGCCAGGAAAATGTCAGATTTTTCGGACTATCTGTCTCTCTGTAACGCTTTCGTTTCAACACGATATCTCGAGAACCCTTTGAGCTTTTGCAATGAAATTTTGCATAGCAACTCCCTATGGACTTAAGAAGAATCCTATTGATTTGAGGTCAAAAGATCAAAGGTCATAAATTCGCAAATTCTGTCTGTTATAACACTTTCGTTTCCGCGAGATATCTCAAGAACCCTTTGAGCTTTTGCAATAAAATTTTACAGAACAACTTTCTGTGGCTTAGAAAGACCTCTATTGATTTTGAGGTCAAAAGGTCAAAGTTCAAGGTCATAAATATATACATTCTGTTTGTGTGTAACACTATCGTTTTCGGGCGATATTTCAAGAGGATTTTGAGCTTTTGCAATGTAATTTTATAACAAAAGTCCGTAGGACCTCTCTCATCCCTCTCAAAGTGTCCCACCTCGTTTTTTTTTATTAGTATTTATTGTATTACGTGTCGCATTTTTAGCACAGGGGCATGAAGGAGAGTTATTACGTATAAAACAGGTTCACGGTGGACTTAATATTCTTATTACATGTACACCTATTAAAACTGTTTAATGAAGGTTAAATTAGACACCATGCATTATGTAAAATTTTGACCATATCGAACTTGCATACATACATGTATGTGTCTTCATCTTTGCATATAATTTTCGTTTAAGTATTGCAGTTTCGTGGTGTAATGGTATGTCTCCCGCTTGACGTGTGAGATGTCCCGGGTTCGATTCCAGGACGATCCATTTTTTTTCAAAATAATTTTTTTTTTACTAAATGATAGTATTTAGCATGTGAAATGAAAAAAAGCTTGTATAAACTCATAAAATCATCATTACAGTGTGATAAATATTCCATATCAAAAGAATCTTCTTTACACATAATTAAGAATTAGCAATCAAATCTTTATATCCATATCGACATACATGTATTTTATTTTTTGCTTCAGTATACATGTTTACATTTAATAATTCTACAAATTCAGTCCGTAGTATCCGAACCCCCCCCCCCCCCCCCCCCCCCCGAACTGCGCATGGTTTACTTTTTCCCTAAGCGGGAGGCACAAATTCTCTGAATTAGCTTGTATTTCTTGTATCATGTCATTCATGGCCTTCACCATGCTTTCAATGAGCTTGCTTAGTTCAGATATATCCTGATGTGTCTCATTGTTGCCTATTGGTCTGTGGAATCTTTTATTTTCAATCTGTCTTTGCTCCGCCATATTATAGACTTCCACTCTTTCGCATGTCTTATTGCTTTGATCAAGTCTCTTGGTCTAGCTTGCTTTATGCAAAGTCTCATATCGGAGTCGAAAAGAGCATTAAGGAATTGTTCCTTGGTTAGCGTATCCTTAACGTTACTTGGTGCCGTTGGATAGGCTAATCTACTTAGCCGTCTTATATTTTGTCCCAGTTCTGAAAGTGTTTCTGTTGCTTTATTTTGCGTTCCTTCATCCTTGCTCGGTAGAGCTCTGTCTGATTTGAGGGTGCAAATCGCTCGCTCAACGCTCCAACAAGCTCATCATAATCGTTAAGAGCATAACCGGACAAATTACCAAGAACTTCCTGTCCTGTCCTCTCAATAAAACGGCTAAGTTAATCCTGTCTCAATTTTGCTCCAATTTCCAAGCACTGCACAGGAATCAAAGTGAGATTTATAATTCAGCCATGAGCTGCTTCCATCATACGTTGCAGGTTTAATATCTGGTCTACTTCCACCAAACATCGGAGGTTTTACTCCTCTTTGATCTGCTGTTCCAAATGTACGCCCTGCTCCTGGACGATATCCTGGCTTGTATTATGCTTTATTTTCTCTCTTAACGTGCTATGCCGGTCTCTTCCGATAAGTTATACCTGGCTCTTACTCATCTGAATCTATTTTCCATTCGATATTTGCGCTTATCTTCTCCTACGCAAATAGAATAAGGGGACAATCTCCCACCTCCTCTCGATACTATGGGAATGACTACGGTTCATAATATGAAAACTATTCAACATAATTCAAATATTAATAGGTGTACATACAACGAAAAATTCTCCTGCAAATGTCCCCACTAGTACGGGGGTAGGACTGGCAGACGCGGTATAGATAATGTACATGGATGAAAGAATGCCAATCAATGTACAAGTCGATATAATGAAACACGAGGAAACGGTTAAAAACATAGCGGCAAAACAAGAAAGCGAGTTGGCAATTAAAGATAAAATGACTGTCAAATGATAAATACGTAATCCATACGGCAAACTTAAGAATGTAGCTATTGATGGCAACACTGTATTTTTCACGCCATTTATAATAGCAGTTACTATAAAAAATAATAGTATTTTGGTGAAGAATTGGAAAAATTTTCGGTAGCATCTGGGTGTGACTTTTCCATCAGGGAATATTCTTCAGCTGTTATAAAGTCTTTTGAGCTTTTCCTCTTGTAGTCTGAACTGTGAAGGCTTTTAAGTTGCAATATTTTCTTATTCTTGTGAGAAAACGCATAGGCACGTCTGCAATATCCAGAATAATTCAAAAAAGTAAACGCAGTTCCACTTGCAAAGACCATACAAGAGAGGAACAGGAAAAAATCCCGCACGAAAAATACAGGGTCATGAAACTGTAGTTGGATAATAGAGTCAGATAGATTAATAGTTGAGTTGATGACGGAGATATTTTGACAAGAAAATGACCCACTTCATTGAATTAAGCCAACTACCCCTGGAACAAGACTGCTCATTTCTTCACCAATGAAATAAACCGTGAGATAAATTTCTTGGAATTTGACCAGAAATGGCAAGAAAACCACTGAGGTCGTGCAATCTACGAGAGCCAGAAATCCTGTCAGCGTTAGTAACCACGTACTTCTCTCAACACCAGCCACGTGACTTGTCGAATCCCAAAAGAACGCTAGCAGTAAACAAGCAATGCACCCAATTCCCAGGATAACATAGACAACAACTGTATCATCCAGCTTTCCTGGAGCTTTGGTGCGCATGAGCGTTACGAACAGCGGTCCGATGTTTGCTACCTGAGTTATGATAGAAATGTAGGACACAAGTCTCCACCCTCCGGGAAGACGTCCGTGTGTGATTAGTATTAGAGACTATGCCCACAGTCCGTTAATGTCGATCCAAGATCCAATACCGAACATCACCACTGTCAGACATACTAACAGATCAACCTGGAGCCACTTACAACGCTTCTTTTCCATGATAGGTGTGAATTCTGAATGTGAGATACATATGATTCATTCCATCGATGCATTAAGTAGGGATATGTCGTGGAATACATTATTTAGTCTAAAACATGTACAAGTGTTGTTAGAAATTGGTTAATTATTAAGATGAGACTTTGATATGGATGTTTTTATGGGGTAGTATGTCATCGCAACGCCACAGCATAAACTGCAGTGGAATTCTTCAAGGTAGACATTGCATGTTCATCCCTTCTGCTTGGTTTTGTATTACCAACTTCAGTTTTGCTTACACATTTGGACCTATTCAGGTGTTATTTTTGAGAATAGATTCTAACAAGCAAGCAAAATTGGATGAGGACCCATTATAGCACACACTCGCTATATACAAACAGACACTAAACATTATGCCAAGAAATTCCTGGACTTTTAGTCTTTTGATAGAGGTCATGAAAATTTTTCGTTGTAAGTAAAATTGGCGGCATTATGTAGAGCTGTCCTGCACTGGCATATTAATTCCATATTTTATAAACTTTAATGCTAGTAGCAGTTTTTGCATCTTTAATAATTCTATACTGCGAGTAAAACTGTAATCCTTAGAACACTCTAGATAGCTTACTGTAAGTTTAAATCATATATCTAACCATCGTATACAGAGAGTAGAGATCAAATGAAAATAAGTGCTGATTTTGTGTCTATCGATATTTTTATTCCTCAAATACAAATATAAATAACGTTAAGTAAAACAAAAATCACTAATGTAAAATTATAATTCTTATATCTTTTCATTCCTGTGGACTAGAAGGTCGTGGGTTCTCACAGACGCAGTTTGATAAAAATTAGGTAACAACTGTTCCATTATCACGCGCTCTCCAATTTGAAGTGAAAGTCACGGGTCTTTTGGATGAGACTTTAAAAATCTATAGGCTCCGTGTCACCATAGACGATGAAATGATCAAAAACCCTCACAGCTCAATGGCCCTGTGTACCGAGTAAAGGTCTAAAGAAGCCCTTCACCATTACGGCGAAGCCTCTTTATGGGTCAAAAATTCTCGAATGGGAGGTAAAAAAAAACATACAATCAATAAATTGATTAGTCATTTGACATTTCTTCAGATTTCGATTGGAGTTGATCTTTACAAGTGGAGTAAATATTCGTATTACTCAGTTTTGCATAAGGTCGCCTCACAAATGTGGTGTCGTACACACCCTCGGGGTATTCCATATAAATACCATCCTGAGTGTCTTCATACAAAACAGTTTTTGCCTCTTTAGCACTAGAGTAGATAGGAACTGGATTGAAGTCATTCTCGTTAGATGACATTCTGTCCTCATTTGACATAATGGGTACAGTTCTCCTTAAAAAAATATGATAGTTATCAATCTCTCTCTCTCTCTGAAATTAAATTTTTAGAACTTCAACATCACATTTCGTTGTATCGATGTTATAATACCTTAACCAGCATTTTGTCAAACATCCCAGGCCAAATAACAATCCAACCATTATTATACCACTGACCACAAAAATATTAACTATCGGAAAAATTAAACCGGAAAAATAATAAATTAGAAGTTATCTTGTAAAGTCAAAAATATAAACAAGAAAAATGATAATTTGAAAGTTTTCTGGTAAAAGTCATTTTTAGCGGACACAATATTAAATACCTAGAAAATTTCTGTGATTTTTTCGTTCTGTAGTTGTTTGCAGGGTGAGTGATACTGTTGTTGATGCTTCCCGTGTTGTCTCCGATTCAGTTGACGTTGTTGTCATTGAAGTTTCCGCATCAGTTGTCGTGCCTTGTTGTAACGTTACTACAGCCATAAGTTTTAATATTACAACTTTGAGTAATTGCTTTTCATTCGCTCTTGGGAAATTTATTTTCTCAGTTATTATGTTTATCCGCAAGGGGGGAAATTGAAAAAAATTGATCTTAAAATACGTGGCTTTTAATCACCACTGTAACAGAAGTAAATGTGTACATGAAGGAAATGAATAAAGATACACATAATGAAAAGTTCTAAGAAGTACTTAGTACAAACGACATCGCATGTACCACCTTTGTGTAACAAGATCGACTAGTGCAAAAAATAGAATTGTTAAATTAAATGTAAATACTGACGATAATGCAAGAGCATTCTGATGCTGTCGACATAAAAATATATATAGATATGTAAATAATTAGATAGTTTTATATGGCAAGTCAAACGTTGCAACATTCGATATTTCCCATTTGTATTGTAAAATTTTCCATTTGTATTGTATAATTTTAATTTGTATCCTATAATTTTCCTTTTGTATTGTATAATTTTTCATTTGTATTCTATAATTTTCCATTCGTATTCTATAATTTTCCATTTGTATTCTATAATTTTCCATCTCTTTTGTATAATTTTTAATTTGCATTATATGTTTGCCATTTGCATTGTATATTTTTCATTTGCATTGTATATTTTTTCATTTAAATTGTATTAAAAAAATCATTTGTATTGTTTAATTAACATCTTGGGTATTACCAAATCCGATATATGATTAGATTAAACCAATGAAATCCTTCATAACAAACCAAAATAACAATCCCTCAAATACAATGCAAATGCAAATACAGAATACAACTTTACACGTCCCATAATCAACTGATAATGGTTTCTTTTATTCAACGTATTACAGTGTATTTCAAATTCATTTCTTAGCTTTAGCTTTTCATACTTATCTGCTTTTTGCTCGTTGCTGTCACATGTGATCTTGATGATATGAAAGATACTGTTAAAGTTATAAAAGTATACAATTATATGCTATTTAATTATACAATTATACGTTATTTAATTATTTGTACGAAAAAAATTTAAAAACTATTAAACTAATCATACACGCATTTATTTATTATGATAATTTCTTTACATCAATCAGAAAGTTGAATGTTAAATAGAAACAAACCATTCCAAAACAGTAAAAATCCTTTTCCTGTTTCACTCCTGTCTGATACAAAAGACACCCTAATTTTATTTCCCCTGGTTAATATAGATATGTTGTCAAATTGACCACATCTCTTTAGTGGCGTGTGGCAGCAAGGATCAATCTCTGTTATCTATATAATTTATAAATAAATTGAAATCAGATTATGAATATCACTCTGGCAGTACAAAATTTTCGAAATTATGTGCTCGATATAAGATACCTCTAGAAAGTCGTTACATTGATATGTCTGCGAACTTTTGATATCCATGAAAGTAATGAAGAAATAAACGTATGCTAAGTATCCTGGTGAAATTATCCACGTATAATTAGCATTGTTCGGATAGTTTGCCGGGTATCCAGGAGATATTAGATATCCATCTTTGTTGTCTTCAATGGTTTCTAACTTGTATTTTCCCCAAACTAAAGCTAAGTAAACAAGGTCTTGAAAAATTATTATGATTGATGAAAACTATTTATATTATTTTATTTGAAAGCATCAGAAATCAAATTTATCCTTACCGATTAAAAAAAAGGGAAAAAAACGTGAGCAATAAATCACTTACCTGTTGAAATACACATAATTGTCGTGAATGTCAAATGTGAACTTGCGTACATTTTTGACCAAACAATCCACAAGAAATCCAGGGTCCTATACAGGAAGATTGTGAATTTTCAATGTGACCGACATAAAGCTATTATGAGAAAGGGAAGTTCTCACTTGGCCTATAATGTTGAAAAAGCATTGAATTGATGATCTATTGTAATGGACATGTATTTTGAATCTAACAATGTTTTTTGTTTTAATTAGCACGAATTTTATTGTTCTAATCTGTAAGATTACAAGTGTCAATATCCGCCGAATCTATGTATCATATTAAGGTTTGTTGCAGTATATTCCGTATATTATTTTCGAAACAGTACATAGAAACTTTTCGAATTTTAAATTGAAAGAAAACCCTCGTTCATTCGAGCTCGCAATAGTTAGGCTTTAGAACGAGAAATCGTATCGTATATTTACAAGTCGATCAAATGAAAAGAATGTATAAGTTGGAGTTCCACAAGGATCAACTTTAAGTCCATTTTTCAATTTTTTCCCAACATATCAATAATATCATCCACAATCAATGAAGCACACTGGCATCAATATGCCTGCAAATAAAACTACATCGGATATCCTTCTCCAATAAATGGTGTACGCTTGCTTTTGAGATGGTCCTTACTATATAGGTCTAAAAGTACTTCTGTAACCTGATTTCCTGGAACATTCATGCCAAGAATGGTTACCTTTAGTCTTAGTGCAAACATGCAACATATAAAATAGAGTTAAAACAAATTTAGAAATGAAATAAATTTTCTTTTGAGTTCGAAAAGCCATTTTTACTTGAACAAGATGTGTGTGTTAAACACTGATGCCCCCGTATGGCAACATAGCGGAGATTAACATTTTGTTAAAATGCAAATTAAAAACGCTGCATGGTACCCAATGTAAGGCCTTTTTACAAGAAATACAGTTGTGAAATATGAAAGCTCTGGCACCACCGGTTCAAAAGTTATGGCCAAGGATAAGGTTTTGAAAGGTACGTAAAACTCCCAGGTCAAGGTCAAAGGGTCAAAGTTGTTGATTTTTAAATAAAGGTCTTGTCACAAGGATAACATATGTGGAGTTCGAAAGCCCTATCTTTAACTTTTCAAAAGTTATGGCCAAGGTTATGTTTTTGAAAAGCAGGTTAAAAAGTTAAATCTTCAATCGTTCAGTTTCTTTATTCTTGGGCTCGCTCCGTGATCGGGAGGTCGTGAGTTCGTATCTCGGCCGCGACTGACCTAAGTCGATAAAAAAAGGTAGCAACTGTTCCTTCGCCATGCGCTCGGCACTGTGAAGTGAAAGTTGCGGTCCTTCGGATGAGACCTTAAAATCCGAGGCCCCGTGTCAGCAGCAGGCATTGGTACGATAAAGACCCCTCACTGCTCAATGGCTCTGAGTGCCGAGTAAAGGTCAAAATTTGAAGCCCTTCACCGGCATACGTTGACGTCTCCATATGAGTGAAAAATTCTCGAGAGGGACGTTAAACAATATATACAATCAATAAATCTTTAATCTTGGTTCTTTGTTTCATTTTTTTAAATTACGTTTCTTGTTTTGTTGCGTTTAGCTTGGTTTGGTTTTTTCATGCCAAAATACATAAATATGCGTCTTCCTCTTTTTTTGTTTAAAAATAGAACTTGACATTGTCGAAATACCCCATAGTAAATACGTTTCTTCTGAAAAAAAAAATTATATTTTGTATTTAAATGAAGAATATAAATAGAAAGAAAAGAAGAACTTTTGACTTACCTTGACTCCTTTCCCTTTAAGAAAAAAAAATACAAAACAAAAAATCACTTGTTAAGAATCAATCAATGCAAATACTTAGATCACTTCTTCCAATGCACAATAGCTGATTTTGAGGCTTATATACCTCTTTCATCTGTCATAGAAATATTTTTTTCATTTTTTTTATCTTCAGTGTAATGTTACTTACTGTTCGACTTTGTGCAGCTTTGAAGAAGGAAAAGGATAAATATTGCTTACCTAAAAAAAGTGGATCCCCAAACATTTCTGATCTTCCGGCTCCAAGGTTTATTTGTAATCCGAGTCATGAATTTGTGAAAAATTATTTAAACCTTGTTGATAAGTAACAGATCATTCAATCCAGCGTTTATCGCAATGATCGAGACCAAAAAAAAATTGCATTATCTTGGTGCTATATTCTAGATTATAATATTATATACGCTCTAAAACAATTGACTCTGCTATAAGAATTTAGCGAAAGAACTTTTGTGCGTCTTCAATTCTGGACACGTAGTATAAGAGGGAAGGGTATGTTTCAATATTGGGGGGGGGGGGGGGGCAACTATCTCTCCTTCCCTGGAAAACGATACTACGTGCCCAAGAAAAAAAAATCATATACGATGAAACAAGTTTTTTATACAGAAATTGGAGTCAACATTTTTTAATATAATCTAATAGAATCAACTTTTCAAAATATAGTACATCACTGTATCATTTTTCTAGATTGAAATTAGAAATTAATCTGAATTATTAAAACGCAAATGTACACTGCAAAAAAGGATATTCAGATACCTTGAAAATTTGTTATCTGTCTGAGTTGTTGATGTTGGTTGTGGGAGTATTAATGTTGTTGAAACTGTCCATGTTGTTGTCTCCAATGTTACTGACGTTGTTCTCATCGGAGTTGTTTTTGCATCTATTGTAGTGCCTTGCTGAAATGTTGCTACAGAAATATTAGACAACAATTTGAAAAAAAAAACTCAAAAGTAAGTGTACAAATTTAATTTTGAGAAAAGTGAACTTTCGCAGTAACTGATCATGACCTTGGTGTCATATTTAAGTTTATAATGTATTCTCCACAAAAAAAATCTTCTGTCAAAAGGATGTCTTGTTCATAATAATATCTATAAATTCATGTAAGTACGTTGTATCAGGAAGGGCGGGGCTGTTTCAATATCTCTTGGGTCAACTATTTCCCTCTTCCCCGGAAAACGACACTACGTACTTGAACTCAAACATAATTATAAAAAAATCGGCATCAAGAGAGAATCATCTGCAATGAAGTATTTACATCAAATATCAAAGAAGATTTTCGCGTTTTCGGATATTGCAGCATATATGCTATGTGGCAACGCACTTTGAAAATTTTTTTCAAAGTGAGTTAAATTTGGGACACACTCAACGCACTTTGAAAAAAAAAATTCAAAGTGCGTTAAGAGTGTAGATAGACATTTTAACCAGGGGACATTTAACTCATTTGAAAAAAATGTATAAAACCAAAAATTTTACACTAGATTTTAGTAACTGAGAGAATCAATTTGTAATACTTGAAAGTGTAAAGCTGACAATCAATTTTCTTCTTGTTATTTTACCACTTCTAGTAGCATTTTTTTCATTGATCAAGTTTTGAAACAACAGAGGCAGTATCGGAGAAATGATACCTGCCAATACCAGCACTTAACCAGAAAGAAAAAGAGGAAGCATTCTAATCGACAAGAAAGCAAAGGGTTAAAACAAATCAGCATTGACTCCACCACAGAACTAGTTTCCTGGCATTTTGCGTTAAATTCTAGACTAACAATATTGGAATTGCCAGTCGTACATGTACATGTACATGGATCGTCTATCAGATTTTTTTTTTACATTTCCCAGATGGGTTTTGTTTGTTCAACGTGTATTGCATTGTATTGTAATCATCTCCAAAGTTTCTTATATCTACAAAAATTTCATACTTATCTGTTTTATGCTCGTTGTTATTACAGGTGAACTTGATGATATGAAAGATGCTGTTAAAGTTATAAAGGTATACATTTATAAAAAAAAAAAAAAATTTAATATATACGTATATCAGAAAAAAATGCACTATGTTGATAGAAGCCAACCATTCCAAAACAGTACAAATCCTTCCCCTGTTTCAAGTCTGTCTGATACAAAAGACACCCGAATTTTATTCCCCCTGGTTAGTATAGGTATGTTGATGAACTGACCACATCTCTTTAATGGCGTGAAGCAGCACGGATCAATTTCTGTAATCTGAAATAAATTCAACAGTAAAATTTAAAAAAATCTCTCAGACAGATTTTTTTTTTCAAAATTAGGTGTTCCATATAAAATACCTGCAGATAGTCGTTACATTGATTTGTCTGCGAACTTTTGATATCCATGAAGAAAATGATGAAATAAAAGTTTGCTACATATCCTGTTTTAATTATCCAGGTATAATTAGCATTGTTTTGATAGTTTACCGGGTATCCAGGAGATTTTATATATCCATCTTGGCTGTCTTCTATGGTTTCTAACCGTGTGTACTCAAATTTTCCCCATGCTAAAGCAAAGAAAATAAAATGTTGAAAAATTATTCTAATTATAACAGGAATCAAATGCTATTATTGGTATATCCGTTCCATTAAATCTATATCTATATATCTATTAAAAGATATAATAAATATCAATTTTGGGCACAAATGTGTTAGAAATCTTCTATGTACATAAGAAACCACGTACCGATTGAAGTAGATGTGAATATCAGTATTAATTGCGTGTACATTTTTATCGCAAAAATATACCAGAAATCCACCATTCCATAACAGGAAATAACACGGACTTCAGACTTTCATATTAAATAGGATGCTATCATTTCAATATCGAAGTTTTTCACTTGGCTTTTTATATTTAACGCATTTTGTTGAATATTAATGGTATTCTAACAACAATGCTTTTATATGATAAAAATGATGACTTTATCTTTTCAATCGTCAACTTCCCTTATTTATGGAGCAAAATCATTTGCATACGGGGATTATATCTCCTTAATATCATTTTTATCATTTATTCCAAGCTCTCTGATTGTCTCAAACTTGATCACGTGATTAAATATATAACAGCATAAAGACTTGAGTTACTATTTATAGAATCTGAAATGCATATCGACTTGATGTTTCTTAAAATGGAGATTATAATTTTCTGTAAAACAAAAATAATACTGATTTCACAATTATAGCTAATACAGTGTATGACTTGATGTTTCTCAAAAAATATATACTTCATCTTGTAATTAATATTTTTTAATGTTCTATAATTAATGAGACATAACAATTCCATGAATTAGGATCTACTTTGTATGGAAACATATTGAATATGTTTGTCAAAAATTGATACAAATAAATGTAGTATTTCGAATTAGTAAATCCTCTAAATTACTTCATCAGTACAAAGGTTACAAAATTACATTAAACGGCTTAATTCATTTTGATCTCTAGTCTCTAAAAGTTAAAGAGAGAAAACTTGTGCCTTGCTTCCATTATTTTCAAATTGTATTTTGTTAATCTATGCAAAAATAATATAACAAATGTAGCCCTTTAATTCGGTCAATCCATAGATATATCGACTTCACAGAAAAGCATATCGACCTCGCACTTCGTGCTCGGCCGATATGCTTTTCTGTGAAGTCGATATATCTATGGATTGACCTCATCAAAGGGCTATATTTATATATTGATTCGAAACGCTAGAGCATGCTATATGCATAGGTGTCGGAACTGGGGGTGCAAGGGAGAGGGGTTTAGCCCTTCCCCACTTTTTTTTTTGCAAAGATAGAAAACATAAAATTATGTATCAAACCTTGGGGGGTTGGTTTTGCCCCCCCCCCCCACTTTCAACAGACACGTTACAGTTTAGTCGAAGAAGGGTTAACTGATTCTTAACCAACCCCAACAACCCAACAAAATAGGTTTTTTTCGTGTTGGGTTGTCAAGTTTTCCCAGGTTCGAAAGTTGCCCAAACTCGAAAATCCTATTTCGTGGGGGGGGGGGGGGGGGGGGGGTAGTGGCCAACTTTTTCAAAGCCAACTTACTATCACTTCAATTTTTCCCTTATACTATGGTTATAAAGTGGGGGGCCAACCATCCTATCAATGAACATTTACTATAGTAAAGGTTATGTTGGGGAAAAAAGTGGGGGGCCAGGCCCCCCCTGCCCCCCCCCCCCCCCCGGATGCTATGTCCCTGTTTATCTCCATCTATTTCATTTTTAATTTTGGTTTAAAAAGTCACTTATTATTTAGGATGGGACCAAATCAGACCAAAATTATTGGAAACAGTGTTTTAAAAAAATTGTTTTCAGACAGATACTAGTGGACAGGAGGACAGCAAGATTGACAGAAATTGGACACTTTACTACCACATCTCTTCTAGTCTCTGATCAGAACAGCCAAATATGCTTATTTAAAGATGAGATAAAATACAGCTCAATCAATTTCCATACTTTCACAATGAACTCTGATAAACAAATCCTTGTCGTGAACTTGACAGAACCATTTCCAGGTAAGTTTACACTTTCAGTAAGGTGTGGCATTCTCGGCGCTACGTTATTAACGCCTGTCAAATAGTGAATAGATTGTCATTGGTTAGGAAATTAATAACTTCAGGAACTTTAAATTGTTGTTGACAACAATGAGAAGACTTTAGCTCCACCTCTTTGCCGGACGAGACAGTGTTATTGGTTATTTGATACATTAATTGGCATTTGCCTGAATTTCTATCCTATATGTATGTATATTTCAACAGTGAAGGAAAGCTGTGTAAATTTCAGAAGCTAATTATGTAACGTCGAGAATGCCACGCCTTACTGAAAGTCCAAGGTAAACTGGAAATTGTCCTACATGAGCTTCCAAAACAAACAAAAGTTCTTCTAAAAGTTGCAATCAAAAGATTAATGAAACTGAATTTTATAACATTTATTACAAAATATTATAAGTGATGACAAATCCTCTTAGCTGAGAGTGGTACAATGGCATGTACAGGTAAAATGTCTTGCACAAATGTTTAACATATACAGCAAGGCCATCATTAAAAATATTT